AAATCGCGTTTTTTCGGCGCGCGCGCTCCCCCCTAAAATTGATATATTTTGGCGCCAATGGTGCCTTTGGAAAAACTTTAGGGTCAGTCGCCAAATAAGTATATCTCAAAATAGTACAAAGGGGGACCATTTGGGTCGGCAGGTGGTCGAATCCCTGAGGAGGAAGTCGTCCCCCCCCCAAGTCCACCCCTGAACGTACAACAAGTTTTGTTTCTACTTATTTTTACTTAATCAAAATCTGGCAAAACTGATATCAGGCTAAATCAAGTGTTTTTTTTGCGAATGACTCGATAAACAACATTTAGGCTTAACCATGAGTTAGTTAAATGGAATAACAAATCTCAAACTTTTTATAAAAAATTCATCGCTCAATCAATGTCATTCTTTATATTAAACTCAGAAAAGACAACACAAACATAATACCAATCGACCACTTGTGATATAGCATCAACAAAGAGTGTCAGCAAGGTGAATTTAAATTAAAGCTGAAAATGAAACCGAAAAAATTATATCTACCATATATTTCATACATATATGACGGAAAACACATTTGCCAGCGTTAAATTGACAATGAGAAAAAATAATTTACCGATAATTAGTCAAATACTGGTTGAATCAAGGTCTTGAAATTTTTTTGTTCATTGTATCAAACAGTTAAAGGAAAGGAGTTGACTGAAGATTTTGTCTACAAAGGAAGTCTTTCGCTGACTTGTGTACTGTTATTTTTTTGTTTTTTTTTTGTTTTCTCTGGAAGTTTCAGAGTTTGAAGTATAAAGTTTTTTTTTCAATAGTAATTAAGGTCAAATGTTTTTATTGAAGATTTATGAACTCAAAATCAAAAATTTCCCGGAAGTTGAAATAAGTAGATCCCTTCAAATTTTAAGTATTGACTTATTTTTAGCGTTTTTTAAGACTTCGTTTTAACAATTAAATGTAGAATTGATTCGACTTGTAATATCACGTTTACAATAGATCTACTCTATTTGATGTTTTTTGTTTTACTAAAACGTTTGTATACGAATAGCTTTTTTTGAAAAAAATTTCTCCTTTTAATTTTGATTTCAATTCGAATTTTTCCAATTCATATCTACACTCAACTGTTTTGAGGCCTAGAAATTCAAAACCTAAATTCTTTTGTAATTTAGATAATTTTAAGGTTTTGTGGGTCTTTCTGCTAGCACCAGATGAGGTCGGACGAAAACGGTATTTTATTGAATGCTTTTTGGTAAGTTCCACTGTCCCTTCGTCGTGCCAATTATTTCAGCGGGATGTATTTGTGTAATTTCTTATTTTTACCAGTTTTGTGGTCGCTACAGATTATCAGGTTACATGAGTGAAAATGAAGCTAGATTTTTAAAATAGTACTGATTACAGAATGAGTTTCGGGTTCACTTTTGAATCATGATTGGTTAGCAATAAATTTTGAATAGTCAATATGATAGTTATTTCCATTCCTTCAAGATTATAATTCGAACCCTGTGAAACGAGGGTGTATAATTCTCCTTCGAAGTCAGAAATTGTGCTCGAGTGCTTTGTTCATAACATTATATTGTGTTCTAATTGTGCTTGAATAAATTATAATGTATAGCAAATCGTGTTTAAACTGAAGCAAAACTATTCGTATCAGGGCAAAGCCCTGAAGGCTCCGACTGCCTTTTAAGGTCTATGGAGCAGAAACAACATAAAAAATATGAAAGTTTAAGAAAACTGAAATTTTGTTCTCAAAAATTTGAGATTTTTTGTTGAAATCATCCCCCACAGGCAATATAGAGTACGAAGTGATAGATTTTGATTCTAGTAACCAATCAGTTATGGCAATTAAGCTTCCTTCAACCAATTTGGAACAATTTCTAAGGCAAATTAAATTTACACTTACGCGTTAATAGTGCGAAATATGTTGCGCGTTAATTATCCCAAATTGACCAAGATTGCAATCTTCAAACCGCAGAATTTTACAAAAATTGAATCACAGGTGAATTTTTTTCTCAAATTTAGGCTCAGGACAACAATACTTTTTGAATGACTTTTTAAAAAGATCCTTTAAAATGGCTAATTAGAAAGTCGAAATGTGTCTGAAGAAAAAAAACCACCACGAGCACAAATATTCCGTTACTTTCATTACGAAAGTCGGAGAAAAATAGTTTCCTGGAAGTGGTTGAATTATTGGAAACTCTGTTCCGACAGATTATAAAGAGAACTTAACTCAGCCTAACCATCCAAGTAGTCTAAGTTACAACAAGATTGCTTGTATCAGAACAGATCCCTGATAATTTTGACTATCTTTTAAGCTGTATGGAAAACGAAAAATGATCTCTTTAAAAAAAAGAAAAATAAAAAAAGAAAAATTTCTCAAAAACCAGCCCCACACTTTTTTCATGTAGAAAGTGATATATTTTGCAAAGAAACATATTCAATCGATCAATTAGCATGCCTAAATTCATTTTGGAACGATTTTTAAAACGGATCTTTTGCATTGATAGCACGAAAACTATCGCGCGTTTAATATTCCAAGTTTACAAAATGATCACAGTAAAGTTTATTGTTCCGAATTTCGATACGAAAGTAACGGAACATTTGTGCTCGGGTTGAGTTTTTTTCTTCAGACAAATTTCGACTTTTTATCTAACCATTCTTGAAAGAACTTTTAAAATATCATTCAAAAAGTATTATTGTCTTGAGCTTAAGTTTGAAAAGATATTTCACCTGTAATCATTTTTCGTAAAGTTATGAGGGTTTAAAAATGGCCATTTTGACCAATTTGGGACAATTAACGCGCCATATAATTCGCGCCATAAACGTGTAAGCGGAGATTTTTTGTTCCGACTTTCGATACGAAAGTAACGGAATATTTGTGCTCGGGGTGGGTTGTTTTTCTTCAGACAAATTTCGACTTTTTAACTAGCCATTTTTGACGGAATTTTTTTTATATCATTCAAAAATTATTATTGTCTTGAGCTTAAGTTTGAAAAGATATTTCACCTGTAATCATTTTTAGTAAAGTTATGAGGGTTTAAAGATTGCCATTTTGGCAAATTTGGGACAATTAACGCACGATATATTTCGCGCTATTAACGCATAAGCGGAGATTTAATCCGTCTTAGAAATCGTTCCAAATTGGTTGAGAGAAGCTTATTTGCCATAGTTGATTTGTTACAAGAAACGAAATATATTCTTTTGTACTTTATATGGCGTGCGGGGGATGATTTTTGTGATTTTTGTGGAGTTTTATTTTTTTAACATTTAATATGTCATTGTTTTTTATGTTATTACTGCTCCATAAATTTTAAAACGCAGTCGAAAAATTCAGGGCTTCACCGTGTCTCTACAAAACAGTCCCATACAAAACAGTCCAAAACAAAACAGTCCGGAAAAGTATGAAAAAGAACGAAAAAGAGTCCTAATTAATAATTGTTTTAACAAGCCGGCAGGCCGAGAATTGTCCTTTGTTCAACAAGCATAATGAACAAAATAGTGACCACCGCAGTCGCGCCAACATGTTGCGAGCTTGCCAACAGAGGGTAGGACTTAAGTAGAAATTTGGAGCCGGTTATCGCCGCAAAGCGGCGACGCGCGCGCAGCGCGTCCACCGACGACCTTTAACCGGACTGCTTTGTATTGGACTGTTTTTTTCCTCCATTACTTGATTTTTGGGACTATTTTGTTTTGGACTATTTTGTATGGGACTGTTTTGTAAATGCACCGAGCTTCGCCATGATACGAGCAGTCTTGTTTTAAGATTGAGCTCAAACAAAAATACTTTCATGAAAATATAAAAATCTCGTCAAAAATGGCCAGGTAAAATGTCAAAAGTTGTCTGGATAAAAAATCACCCCGAGTTACTTTCTTCGAAGTTCAACAATAAAATAAATTTTTTCTCAAAACTCTTCCTGGATTCTGTTAAATACTCGATCTAAAGCGCTTTTTTGAAAGCGCCTTTGAGAAGCTTATTTATCAATTTGAGGGTTTATTTTGCACTTATAATTTATGTGGCGAGGAGTATGTTCTTGATAGCTGGTGTTTGCGGAAAAAATACTAGCCTAGTTCTTCATTTTCCCACCGTGAGGCGATATGAGACAAAAACAGAAATGTGAATCAATTACTTAATTTTTGCTTGACTGTAAAATTTTCAGATTGATTTTTCATATTTAGAGGTTTTCGTTTTTGTTTCACGTAAAAAGGTAAGATTATTCTGATTGTTATGAGTTTCGTTCATATTTCGACCCCTCGTTTTTAGCCAGGGAAGTATCTGGGCCTCGAATCGTCATATTTTTTATTGCTTTTTGACTAACACCGAAAATCCGGGTTTACGATACTTACAGGCTGTAAGATTGTTTGTTTTCAAAAATTTTCCTTTGTCGTTTTTCTGGTTGATTTTTCTCGATGACTCTTGTCAGGATGGTCAAGTCTTAAGTTCCTGGCAGGGATGCCCAGATACTTCTCTGGCTATGTTACCCGGAGTGCTTAAGTGCTTATCATGCAAACATTTTTGAAACCACTTTAGCTCTTTTTCTTGATTTTCTTTCGACTTTCGAAGGATATGCGGAACATTTTTGTCAATTTTTCAACCAACTACTGTTTTTTTTTGTAGGCTTTGTATTATTTTAAATTCTCAGCAGACGTGAAGATAAATGATAAATTATTGAAACAGAAAAAAAGGCTTGGTTTTTATCAATTGCCACTCAATTCAAGCCAATTAAAAGAAATTATCGCATTTCATCACCACACTTGAAAATATGCATAATGCTTAAAAAGTGAACGGTCAGTATTCAGAAAGACATAATTATATTAGGACAGCGTACAGAGTCCAAAAACGACGTGAAGTTAAATATTAATTAGAACGTGATTATTCGTGGGAAAATATACATTTTCAAATACTATCCCAATTTTTTCCAGCACATGGTACAAAATAAATTATTGATCATTGCAGTTTTTGTTGTTTAACGGGAAATTTTTTTATCGTGCAATTGTCATTTTATTTTATCGTGAATATTTTATTTATTTCTATTCGAAATTGATGTCATTAAATGTTCATTTTTGTTCTGACATTACTTTGTGCGCTTAGTTCTGTTTTCTCTGGGTGTGGTAAGGTAATTGAAGCACAGGGTTGCTTTATTTATAAAGTTACTGATCAGTAGTTGAAAAAACTTTCTAATTTTCCTAAAACTAAAAGTGTTTGCTGATGCTATTCAAGAATTATTCAACTAAAAATGTCCTCCTATGTTCAAATTCGTTACGGTAGTAACCAGACATTAATTTGCAATACTGACTGCATTTGTATCAATTTACTTCAATACATCCGCGAAAACTGCACGAGTTTGAGAGTTGAAGAAGAACTAGATTTGGTCGACTCCTTCGGAAGCACACAAAACTTAAAAAAGTTAGATTTACATGTAGTTTTTGTTGTTTCTAGGACAACCATTTTGGCTGACTTTGGAACCTTTTGATGGCCGCTCTGCTATAAATTGTGTAAAAACCTTAGAAATCCAAATTTCAAAAACCTTGAAATAAGCTTTCAAACAGACACAGGGGGCGGATCTAGGATTATTTTCTCGAGGATAGGGACGAATTATCACTTTTTTTTAGGTTGGCCAAATTGAGTTTCCAGCTGTCCCAGAACACCATAAGGACCATATTTGACAAATATGTTTGCGCCGCAGGCAAATTTTTAGAAAAGAATTAGGTCAAAAAAGCCATTTTTGGGCACTTTATGGATGAATTTGACAACTAAAAAAGTCTCGTTTTTTCTTACTTGAGCTTCCCCTTAAAAAAGTATATATTGGCATCAAAGGCGCCTTTGGAAAAAAGATGGGGTCGGCCGAAAATGGATTACTTAAAAAATGCCAAGGGACTCTTTGGGTCGGTTGGGGGTTGAATTCCTGAAGTAAACTAGTGTGCATGAAAAATTTTTCAGACCAGTACTTTTCAGACCATTTTCCTAATTAAAAATTCCAAATAGATGACGCATTCAAACAAGACAAGGGATGTTTGGGGTATGTCGATCGATTACTTTAAAATTTCCAATGTCTATATTGCCACAATAATCAATGAAAAATGATTTTATTCTGTAAAAACTTGTTTGCAGCTAGTTAGGTTCTTAAAAACATTCGTTTGAGAACTTTTCCTCGCTTATGTTTTTATAAACAATCAGCAGATATCATAATGTTACAAAAACAAAAATCCGAAAAACCAAAAATGGTTGAGAATTTTTCTCAATTATGTTTTATAAACAATCCACAGAACTCATAATGATAGAAAAACAATATATAAGCACGGTGGCGTGCGCAGTAATTTTGACCAAAAATTGAGTTTCTTCGGCGCGCGCTCCTCCCTCAAAAGTAGTCATGTTGGCGCCAAAGACGCCTTTAGAAAAAATTGATTTTGTTCAGGTCGAATCCCCCCTTGGCACGCTACTGCTTATGTATAAAAACGACAGAAATCATAAAAGATAAAAAGAGATAGTTCCAATTAAACGAAGATGCCTCATTTTTGCATAGAGAAGTAATGGTCTAAGACAAAAAGGTTAAAAATATAGATCTTGTTCAAAGTCATAATAACCTCATTCGCCAAATTTTTAACGCCGCCCTCCCCGGGTTCAAATCCCACCGTTAATTATAGCTTTTTGTGTAGTATGCCAGTGATCGCTAATTTCCAGCGCTGAATCACGTACAATTCAGAATTTGTTGCATAGATAAACCTGCAATTTTTCAGAGCTATTTCAGTAATGATTCCGTAGAAATTCATTGCCAAAAGTTAAGAAATTTTAACTCATTCTAGTAGCTTTCGAATGAGAGTTTTAGTTGATTTTAGTTCCTTGAAGGTTTCATAGCGCAAAGATAGCATACATGATTGATCATCGGAAAGTTAGGTGATCGAACCCCTCTTAGAGCACTAGTTTTGCTCATTTTGCTAGTTTTTTCATCGCTGTTTCATCGCTGAAAGTAATCTAAGTTAACAATAATTAATCGATAAAGTTTGCTATTGTGTCAATAAACATCGATAATTCATCAATGGGGATCGCTGTTTTTTTTTCATTTTTTCCGCTAACTTTCAATGTGAGCTCAACCCGGGCCCCTCTCCCTCCTTCGCCCAAAATCCCGAATCTCTCCCTCCTTCTGCCTCATGTAAAATCCCGGGTTGACCTCCATAGACAAAAAATTTATTCAAACAATTCCATAAACTAAGTCTACGAAAAATACTAATCATACAAATTTCATACATTCGCTAAAAAAATGTCATCGAGTTTTACCATTTCTATATATGGAAATTGTATGATTAGCAGATTTTTGATGGCGACTACAAAATTTTTTCGACGTAGCTTTGAAATTACCCCAAAAATTTCTTTGTGTTTTGTTTTTCAACCGCAAATTGAATTTTGTACTAAAACTATTTTTTTCGAAAAAAAAAATTGCATCCAAAATTAAGTTTTTGTGTGCATAACGTAGTCCTGGATAAACTAAGATTGGTTTTTTCCTTTTCGCTATATATTTTTTTCATTAAAGCTTAAGACTTCTTTTTCTACTGTGTGACATGTTTATGTATGCCATGATCAATGTCTGAAAATTAAAAAAAAATATAAAAAATGATCATCTTTGAGAAATTTTGCCAAAACTCAAAAAAGCCAAAAAATGTTTGTTATATTTTTTTTGTGAGACAGATCTAAGACCTTTCAGGTGGTTTCCAATGCATTTCTAATGCGAGACGGTTTTGATTACTCTACGTTCAAGTAACCAAGGTTGCGTTCGGTTTGTCACTTGCGTTCGGTTACGAACACAACCAAAAAAATTTGAGAATTCAAAAGGTAAGAAAATTATAATTTTTGGCTTATGGAAAAATGCTAGTCATACAACTTCTAAATATAGGGAAATTAAAGACTTTCATGCAATTTGTTGTATTTATGGAATTCCATGAAAAGTGTATGATTAGCATTTTTAGTCAACCCTGGATAAGAGAAAGTTTTCAATTAATGCAACTAAACTACCGGCAAGTTATATAATTTTTAAGTGGTGCCCGTAAAATTTATAGATATCATCTCGAAAAAACCAATATTAACGATTTTAATTGATTAAAATATAATATTATGATTTTAAATGATAACACTGAATTTTAATATTTGTAAGCCAAATCAATTTTTTACAACTTCTTGAGACTGACATAAAGTTTGATATAATTGATTATGCTCGATAAAATTGAGTGTATTAGGACTGAAGATAATTTCAAGTAGCTAAAAAATTGATTAGCCGAAAATAAAAATAATAAAAAGAAAAAGGGATATTTTGTGTGGGCAGTAGGACGAATTTTTGTGGTTTTGGAACGGAATCAACCCTACTTCCTAAATCCGGTGCTGACGATGTTCCGGCGAACATTTCCTCAATCACATAGAACCAAACTGGAGCGGATGTTGCAGCTTTATTATTAGACAAGCGGGACTAATTTTGGGCAATTCCAGATTGGTGTCACGTTTTTCTATAAAAAAAATCATCATACTGCAATCTGCTTTTGTCTATATTCATCTCCTAGGCATCATAAACTTATATTTTTGTCTTTGAGAAATCTAAAGAAATAGAATTCGTATATGAATTTGAAGATAAATTTATAAATTAAGCTGACCGTCAGAACGAAACGAAATTTCTGCAATATAGATACGATTTAAATTCTTCGATGCAAAAAGAAAAATCAGAATTTAAACAAATGGCTTGAAGCCTTGTTTTGGGCACTTACAAAATTGGCTGTAACAATGAGCTTCAATCTGAGTGTGATCGAATTCTTGATAAAAGGAACTTTTCCTCTTGACCTCTAAATGACATAGAACTTTTGTCACTAAATTGCAGATCAGTTTTAACAATTGGACGGAAAATCAAGCTGGAAAATAAATTGTGAATCCATCAACAGACATTGTTGCGCTTAGTGAAACATGGTTGCATAAGAAGTAATTCACCGTTCTGATAGGAAAACTGCACCTCATGCAGGAGTCCTATTTTCAGCGATTTACAATCCACGGCATGACTGTCCTTATATTCTAAAAAAATTTTGAGGGAAGTGAGCAAACAACTCAACGTTCATAAGGTAGAATCTAACTTGATCACAACGCATTGGATTTTATGTGGCAATCTGAACTCAAGTTCAGTTGATTGGAATACTTTATCAAGCGATGACCAACTTGAATTCAGTATTTTGAAATCAATTTTGAAGTTCAATCTTGGTTTACTGACAAATAAAGATTTTTTTTTACAGCGAGACGTAATATTAACAGACAATTCTTTTTATGGATTAACTTCGAACCCAACCAAAGCTTCTCAGATCAACCTGCGCTTTCCTGTCAAATAGCATTTGAAATAGATACTAAACAGATAAATTTAAATCGTTTTTGCATCCGTAAAGCAAAATCCGAATCATTGCGTTTGTTATTCTTAAACAACCGACCTCATGGCTCGAACGATGCAAAACGAATGCTTGAAACGTTCTGTGGGTTGTTTCATCCAGCCTTTAACAAATCCAGAAAAAAACAGTTCTTTGCTCTAAAGACCCCTATTGGATGTCATCACACTCATGCCTTTTGTTTGAGTCATTGAAAGACTTCCATTTAAAAATGACTTTCAATTTTCTCAGATCGATAAATGGAAACGCAAAAATACCCACAAAAAATTCATACAAAAAAATCAGTTGATGCTCTGCTTTTGCAATCTGTGAGGCCTTAGACAAAGTTTTGTGCATCTGTGCACAAAATAAACAACAAACCCTTGAATGTTCCAAGCGAAAGTATTTTTCCATGAATATAATGATCAGATATTTTCGTTTCGCAATGCAAAATTCTCAACGAAATGAGTAAATGCAAATCAGGAACAAATACAGATGATTGTATATCGCCTAACATAGAATTTTCCGTTTTACAGTTCTCTTTGACTGATATTGTTGAATGGTTTAATTGCATAGTCAGTATTATACAGTTTCCAGATATCTGCAAAATAGTACACAATAATCCTTTACACAAAAAAGCTTCTCGTTTGAATATTGAAAGTTTTAGGCCCATTTCAATACTTCCTGCACTCACCCTAGTATATGAACAAGTTTTTTTATAACAAGATGACAGGTTCACTCGAAGAAAAAACTAGACGATGTGCCAGAAGTTATTGACAACCCTTCATTTTATATGCTGACGATACAAAAGTTAATAGAACTTGGTTTCACATTTCTTCAATTCAAACAGATATAAGCAAATGCAATAATCTGGGCAGTAGAAAACAGAATTGACTTCAATTTTGACAAAATTGAACAAATTAGAATTCAAAAACTAAACAAGCGATACTCTTTAAGCGATCTTTTATCTTATGATAGAAAACAAATAAGTTTTATAGACACGAAGAAAGACCTCAGTGTTTGATGCAATTTTAAAAAATGTCATGATTATGCCACATCACCGAAAGGCTTAAAAAGCAAACACGCAAATTAATTACATCAAAGGATCTTCGCCAAGCTCACTGAGTAGCTCTGTTCGGATTTCGCTTCGTGAAAGTTGCATAATGTCAATAAATTTTATGCATCTCCTGTTTAGTTTGCGACTAAAACCCTTGAAAGCATATAAAAAAAGTTCAGCATGAATTGAAGGATGAGGATTATGTTTTTTGCTTGAATAAAAGCAAACTGTTGACAATTATATTTAACAACGATTTGATTTTTCTGAGAAACATTCTTAATAACGAGTTGCCGATAAATTGTCTTGGACAAATTTTGGACAACCGAAATTAGCCCTGGTTCAAATCGAACGGACTTTTGAGAACGGAAGACTTTTTGAGAATTCCAATGACAACACGAAGCAAAATTTGTGAAACTTTCTTTTACCGTGGCGCAGCAATTTCAAACACACTCGCAAGATCAAACAATTTGCCTGTCTATAAACCGTTTCAAAAGTTTGTAATCTTTAGAAAGAATTTGAACCTGTTATTCAATGACAAACTACAAAATTCAAATAATCGATTTATACAGATTCATGGTTTAATTTTTATTTTACTAACTTTGTTATCAATGACTAAGAGCAACTAATCCCCGTCTTGTGAGTTTAATTCAATCTTATTATGTTTATTATGATTATTATTATTATAAAAGCAGACTGCAGACCGATGTTTTTTTTTCGTCCGAGGAGATTTGCAGGTTTTCCAGATCGAGGATGTTTTTCCGCGACTGGCGAGACCCAAAGAAGGTTATTTGCGACCAAAGAGACCCAGAGAAAGTTATGCGCTACCGGCCAGACCCTACCGTCTCGCCGGTAGCGCATAACAAGCGATACTCTTTAGCGATACTAAGTGAAATAGAAGGACAGTATATCCGATCGTACAGAGTTATACGCACAGAACAGGTTCCGGCTGGTTTGGCGCAGGTATGATTCCCACCAAAGTCGTTTCCTTTATAGAACACAAATCTGACAGTGTTCGCGATCAAAAAAATTCTCACAGAGAACCGTGCGACCGATGGAAACGTAACCACAGCCAGCAAGACTTGCCTTTTCTGAGTTACATATTGTCAATTTTATCTAAATTTCATGCATTTAGACTATTGCTAGTCACTTGGGTTGCTGAGCAAATAGTAAATTAAGACACATTTAAGGACATAATGACGTAACTGCACATTAAGTTTGAACTATACAGGCAGTGAAATAGAAGGACAGTATATCCGATCGTACAGAGTTATACGCACAGAACAGGTTCCGGCTGGTTTGGCGCAGGTATGATTCCCACCAAAGTCGTTTCCTTTATAGAACACAAATCTGACAGTGTTCCAACTTCTTAATTTTTTTTTTCGGTTTTGATTATCTATTTGAATTAATTCAGTAAACGGCCTTGGCTGCCTTTGATTGACAGATTTTTGTATGTCAAAACCGTGATTTTTGACCAAAAGTGTGAACACAGTGAGGTGAAAATTCGAAACAGGCGACAATGCGTAACAATAGATAAAGCATGGAACACTGATCTACGCGCAGTAACCCCCTCGTGCCGGATGTAAGCGCAGCAGAGCAAGCCCGGGTTGACCTCCATAAACCGAAAATGATTTTCATACAATTCCATACATCAAGCGTATGGAAAAACGCTTGTCATACAATTTGAACTTTTTGGAAAACAGTTGAAATAATATAAAAAGTAATTTCTGAGGCTGTTTCATTCTAATAAACCAGTCTGGTGATAAAAAAATCGGGTTCTTTTTTTGTTTCTGAAAAAAATGCTTAATATACAATTTCCCTTTATGGAAATTGTATGACTAATATCGTTTGATGGCGACACAAACGTTTTTCCAAGTGACCTTTAATTTGCCCCAAAATTGTTTTTTTTTCAACCGCAAATCGAATTTTGTACTGAAACAATCATTTTCGAAAAAAAATTTGCATGCAAAATTTAATTTTTTGTGTGCATAACCTAGTCTTGGATACACCAATGTTGACATGCACTTTTTTCCTTTACCCTCAATTATTTTCAAAAACGCAGAAAACTACTATTTCTTTTGTATGGCATGTTTATTTATGCCTTAATCTTTGCCTGATGTTAAAAAAAAACAAATTAAAAAAAGTCATCGTTGGAAAACTTTGCCAAAATTTAAAACTTTGTTACTTTCGTTATATTTATTGTGAAGGACAGCTTTAAGACAATTCAGGCCGTAAATGCAAGACCGCCCAATCTTTGATGCTTTGAGTACACCAAGATTTTTGTCACTTGTGTTTGGTTACGAGCACAACCCAAATTTTGCAGAATTTAAATTAATCGAAAAAAGCTTTTTTTTTGAGTTATAGAAAAAACTTGTCATTTAATTTTCATTTATGAAAAAATGCTTGTCATAGAAATTTCATAGAAATTGTATGATAAGACGTTTTGGTCAATCCGGGAGCGTGTTCTACTTGCCAATGCCTTTCGGAAAAATGTCGCTTGTTAGGAAGTGTTATCCTGATCACACGCTAAATTTTTGTGCTGGAGATAGCTTTATTGTTATAAAAAATATGGATTATTATCGACAGGCAAGTTAGTTTTGATCGCAGTACAGTTTAGCACAACTGGAACTTGTTTGCTTCATAATTAAGAAAAGATTGCGTCCCATGAAGCTTGCTCGATGAAAACGCGCATCGAGCGTCGATGGGTTCTAATCAATTTTAATGGATTCCCGAGACAACAATGATCCATTATAACCCATTACAGATGAAAAACTCAGACCACGAAATCGATTATATTGCCATTCTTAATCGATTGTTTTATAAAAAACAAAATTCCATTATTATCCCCTACAATCGATTATAATCCATTGTTTTTGGCACTGAAACTGATTACTTTTGCCAAAATAATCCATTACAATTGATCTTTTTTTAAAAAAACAACAACTCATTGTAATCTATTATAACTGATTATAATGCATTTTAATTTTAGAACTAAATTTGTTTATGTTTGCAGGGAATTTACAAAAAGTATGCCATGTCTTTTACTAAATGCCATGTCTCAACGTCACCCCCTCAAGTTTTTTTTACCAGCCCCTAAAGAAAGGGGGGTAAACGGGGGGGGGGGGGGGGTCAATCGTTAACCCCTCCCCCAAAGTCTACCAATAAACACCCCCCACCCCCCAGAAAAATATGTAAATTTTAATGTGAAATGTAACATTTTATGAAACGTAAAACGTAGCAGTTTCTCTGCACAGGAAATTGAGATAACCTTGAAAAAAGTTTTAAATTTCATTTCATGTTTAACCTCTCTAAAAAATCCATTGAAATCGAATATAATCGATTATAATGGACTATATTGATATGAAAAATCTGAGGATTATAGTTCATTTTAAATGGATCATAATAGATTATAATAGTTTATAATGGATTATATTGACATAAGAAGTACAAGGATTTTAATCCTGTTTTAATAAATCATAATCGATTGATTTGCAATTTTATAGTTACAATATAATCGATTTTAATCCATGGGCGCTCGGTGCGGGTAAGCAGTACGTGTTCCAACATAACAAAAGATTGCGTCTCATAAGGTTTCAAAGCTTTTTTGTTCTTTTCACTTTATGTTCTGAACTTTTAAGCTTACTCCTATTAATGCGTCATGTTCTAAAAACTTAGCAACCTATAAAAAGTTATGAAATTTTTTTTTATTTAGTTCTTTTTCATTATCTTCTGAACTTTTAGGCTTCCTCGTTGTGATAAAATATTCTCAAACCTTAACAACCTATAAAAAGCTATAAAAGTTTTTTTTGTCAGTTCTTTTTTGTCTATCTTCTGAACTTTTAGGCTTACTCATTGTGATGTCACTACTCAGAACTTAGCAATTAACGTATAAAAAGCTATAGAACGATTTTTATTGTGTTTTCTTTTCTTTATCTCCTTAATTTTTAGGCTTACTCCTTTTGATGTCACTACTCAGAACTTAGCAATTAACGTATAAAAAGCTATAGAACGATTTTTATTGTGTTTTCTTTTCTTTATCTCCTTAATTTTTAGGCTTACTCCTTTTGATGTCACTACTCAGAACTTAGCAATTAACGTATAAAAAGCTAAAGAACAATTTTTATTGTGTTTTCTTTTCTTTATCTTAATTTTTAGGCTTACTCCTTGTGATGTCACCGCAAAAGTTAGCAATAACCTTATCTTCAATAGATAATTTATCGGATGGTTGTTTGAGGTCATGCTTAGCTTCCACGTCAGCAACCAAACTGTCTTGTCTTTGTTTGTGGCTATTTTCAGACTAACTTTCACACTATTATTGCGACTTAGTCTTCAGATAGTTTTAGACTTTGCCCACTACTTTGAAGATATGACTGAACTAAACACTTTCTGCCGTCGTCGGGGGCTTTATATTTGAGCGACTTTGAAAGCCTAAAAAAATTGACTTGTAGAAGCAAAAAAACTGAACAATGGTTTTTCCGAGACAGTGGATATCCAAAAATCTGTTCAAAACAATAACTTGAGTTTTCGAGCTGCTGTTTTTAAACATCAGAAACTTAACTTTGCTCTAAAATTAATTACTACAGACAATTTTTTGATAAAACAAAAGGAACAGGCTGAAAACAAACAATCAAATCGTGTTTTAGAAAATTGTACGACAGAAGTGTTCAGCTTCTAGAAAGAGGAGCAACCTACATTCCGATTGTGTGCAGTCCCAGGGAAGAGTCGACAGGGTCCAGATCAGGACTCAAAAGTCCAGAGCCGAGCCCGAATGTGTACAAAGAAAATAATCACTCGATAAGGTTTTTCAACATATTTTTAAATAATTGGAAACATAAATCTAAATGGAGAGCTTTATAAAGTTTTTAGTATACATATATAACTGCTAAGTCCGCAAACCACAATCATTTAATTATTTTCAATGCTTATTTCGTTGCCCAGAGAAAAGTTCTTTCAAGTCAATTAATGCTTCTTTTAATAAATGTTTTTTTTTCCTTTTTCTTAAAATGTGGTATTTTTGTATAGCTTTATTTCGTAGCTAAGAGAAAAAATTTTTTTAATCATTTAATTTTTGCCTCATACTTTTCACTTTTTCCCATTTTCCATAAAAAACAGAATCTTTTCTGACTAAAGTTAAATGTTGTGGTTTTTCTTATAGGTTATGCCTATCGGAGCCAGTGGAAAAAATCTTCCCTCATTTTCAATTCCACTCAGAAGGCGGCAAATCCAGCCCCAAGCCTCAAATTCGGGAAACCAGCAGTCCAGTTCCACCTAAAGTAACTAAACTCACATTTTAGTAATAAATTAATTAGAAATTGAGATTTCTGCGATTCGCAGAGGATCAATGAAAGACTATCCAGCCTGTCAAAAAACAGTCGGTTTCTAATTTTTTCCACATCCATGGCTGAGTTATTTTGTTGAGTGAGCTCTTTTAGCGACTCAAGGCCGTTTTTTTGCGTCTGGAGTTTTCAAGTGGTTTCACTATTTCCACCGAATTTGGCCAGGCTGTGGTATAAAAAAGGCAAGAAGTTGGATCAGATAAAAATATAAAAATAGCAAATAACCTATTTCAGACAACTTTTGAATGCAAAAGCTAACTTCTCAAACAGAAGGTATGTCTCAAGCTCACAGAAGCTTAAACTTGCATGCTAAAGTTGCTGAAAATTGACAGATGGCTCTTTTCAATTAATTCTGGCTCTTCAACTTGTTAAAGGGCATCCATTTTAAGGGCATTCATTAAGGTATGATTATCTCAACAAAAATGTCAAATCGGTGCAAAATTGAATCTGGGTCTCTTTTTAATAGAGGTAACCATTAAAAAATTGGATAACACAGGTTTGGTAATAATTTGTTTAGACTCACTTATCAGACATGTAACGCCAATTTGTTTTTGTGAATAACATTCTCAAAAGCTTCAAGAACAAGCCTTGTACTGTACTGTCTTTTCGTTTTCGTTGATCTTAGGTCTCTCCGACTGCCAGACGGGGCTCGTCAAAGGGTCAAGCGGGTAACAGAAGATCTTCTAAAGTGACCACTGCTACTGTCCCTATGAGTCAGAGAGCGAGTCCGAAGAGACATTCAGTGTTCTAAAACATTCCTTGTAAAAAGATTATTATAGTATGTCATTCGTTGAATACTATGCATCAATTAAAGTGAATGAGTTCAGTCGAACAACAATCTCGCTGTTTTGCGCTCTTGTTATGACCTCCATACACGAAAAACATTTATCATACAATTCAGGGGCGGATTTAGGGGGGGTTTCGGACGCCCCTATCCCCCCTCAGGGATTCGACCCCCTGCCGACTCAAAGAGCCCCCTTTGTATTACTTTGGTGACGACCCTAAAATTTTTCTAAGAGAGCCTTTGGCGCCAACATATACTAATTTTGAGGGGGGAGCGCGCTCCGAAAAAACGCAATTTTTTGGTCAAAAGTTTCCAAAAACTGCCTAAAAACACCTTTTTGGCCTGTTTTTTTTTTTCAATATTTTGCCTGCCCGACTGCCATTTAAAGTCTGAGGAGCAGCAAGAACATGAAAAATTTAAATGTAACAAAAATTAAAATTGAAAAAAAAAATTGATTTTTTTGTGAAAACATCCCCCCCACACGCCACATTAAGTACAAAGTGATAGATTTTGCTCCTATTAACGAATCAATTACAAGACTGCTCGTATCAGGGCGAAGCCCTGAATGTTCCGACTGCCTCATACGGTCTATGCAGCAAAAAATAACATGAAAAAAATAAATGTAATAAAATAAAAAGAAAAAAAAATAAAAATTGAAAGTTTTTTTGAAAATCAATCCCCCAAATGATAGATTTCTCTCCTTGTCACAAATCAATTATGGCAAATAAGCATCTGTCAACCAATTTGGATCGATTGCCGAGACGGATTAAACCTCCGCTGACGCATTAATAGCATTAGTTGTCCAAAAATGGTCAAAATGATAATCTTTAAGCCCCCATAACTTTACGAAAAATATTAACAAAGTTTACGGAATATTTGTGCTCGGGGTGGTTTTTTTTCTTCAGACAAGCTTCGAATTTTTAAATAGCCATTTTTGACAAGTTTTTTTATATCATTCAAAAGGTATTGTTGTCTTGTGTCTTGAGCTTAGATTTGAAAAGATAGTTTACCAGTGATTATTTTTTGTAAATTTTTGGGGGTTTAAAGATTGCCATTTTGACCAATTTAGGATAATTAACGTGTGATATATAATTTGTGCTATTAATACGTAAGCGAAGATTTAATCCGTCTTAGAAATCGATCCAAATTGGTTGAAAGAGGCTTATTTGCCATAACTAATTTGTGACAAGGAGAGAAATCTATGCTTTTCTTTTTATATAGCGTGTGGGGGATGATTCGATAAAAATTTTCAAATTTTAAAATTTTTTTTCTTTACGATTAATTTTATAAATGTTATTACTCCTCCATAAATTTTAAAAGGTAGTGGTAACATTCAGGGCTCCGCCCTGATACAAGCGTTCTTGTTCTATTTTATAGGCCTTTAGAAAATATTGGCTATGAAAAAAAAAACAAATGTGGTGATTGGTTTAGTACGTAGTTTGCGAGGATTTGGTGAAAAAGTGTGCGCGAGTCAATATTTACAGCTTGAACAACGATAAGCAAAATACAAACAAGGCTGCTCGTATCAGGGCGAAGCCCTGAATGTTCCGACTTCTTTTAAAGTCTTTGGAGCAGTAATAACATGAAAAAATAAATGCAATAAAATTAAATTTTTGAAAAAAAAGAAATTGAGATTTTTTGTAAAAACATCCCCCCACACACCATTTTAAGTTCTAAGAGAAAGATTTTGCTCCTATTAAAAAATCAGAGTTAGAATATTGGCTTTCCTGAACACATTTGGAACGATTTCTAAGTCGGAATAATTCTCCGCTGACGCGTTAGTAGAGCAAAGTATATCGCGCGTTAACTGTCCCAAATTGGCCAGAATGGCAATCTTTAAACCCTAATAACTTAACGAAAAGTAATCAAAGGTGAAATATCTTTTCAAATTTAAGCTCAAGACAAAAAATAGTTTTTGAATGATAAAAAAATCGAAATTTGTCTGAAAACAGCAAAACCCACCCGAGCACAGATATTCCGTTACTTTCTTTACGAAAGTCGGAACGAATACCAGAAAGAAAAATTTAAAAAAAAATGCTTGAAACGAATGCAAAATCACGGGTCGTCACTCAGTAATTGTATCTCAATTTTGATGCCTAATTTTGTTTAGGCAGCAAACACTGAGTCATACACGATATTGCAATAAGTTGAACTTGGTTGAAATGGAATGGCAAGCTTGCAACGATACGTAGTTTCGCAATGATTCAAAAAGTTCAATGAAATTCTGCCTGTACAATTTAAGTTCAATTAAACGAACTTTTTTTTTTCACCAAATGCTCCTGAAAAAGAAGTTTCGGGCTCAACACGGTCATAGGCTGAGTTATTGCGTCGTACAACTATCATGTATACAGAAAACGGTTAGTTATTTTTTTGTGTTAAATCAACTAAATGCTAGAAAACTGCCCATGAAAATTTTTTAATGGGCCAATAAAAAAACGTGAAAATAACTTTAGTTGAGTTTCCAGTTTTTTTTTGCTGGCTTCAAGAGATTATAGTTAGGTGATAATCGAGATTTCTTTGAGCTGATTTTACAACCTAATTAAGATTTTCCAAATACTTTCGCATTAAAAAGGAATCGAACTTGAGATTGAACTAGATAGGCAAAATTAGCACGTGTAGTACCCTGAAGCAGTGGTTTTTCTTACTCGATGTGTAATTTATACCTGCGTCTGATTTTAAACTCTTTGAACTCAGATTCAGATGTGGAAATCCTCAACGCCGTGTCTATCTAACAAACTGATAGCATCAATCTGCTTTTATCAACGAACTCTTGGAAACGTTCATTATGAAATATTTACTAGCATTACAGATCATTGAACAACTGTTAATTGATTTCGGACATTTTTTAAAGTTTGTTTCTTGCATCAAGCTGCTGTCGCCATTGCGTTCACTGTTCTTTCCGTAATCGGCAAAACAGTTGATTTCTGTTTGTTCAACGACCTTCCAATGTAGAATCTATCCACTCTCGTTTGCTCGGGAACCTTTCCGTAAAAATACTTGTGAGTTGTCGTGAAATCTGTCTGGCCTGTTTGAGTTGCGCTTTTGCAGTTCTCCTTGTGCCAGTCTGCTATTTTGCTTTGAGCCAGACCCCAGTTAGTCGGCTCCCCAAAGATGGGGAAGTCCGACTTCTCTGGAACCCACGCCATCTGGGTTCCCACTTTCCACTCGCGTGCTTCGGGTAGACCCTGTGAACAAATAGAAATCTCTTTTCAAAATTTTAAAAATGTTTTGCTCTCTCTTTTTACTGCAGCTCCCTCATCTGTGTTTTTCAACGATTGGAACTTCCGCCAATATCAACTGATTTCGAAATTTATCATGTAGTTTTTGTAATATTAATGTTTCACGAACAAAATCTATTTTTGTCGGTCGAGTCAATTTTTCAGAGTTGTAAAATGGTTTTTCTTACTTCTCTTCTATACTCCCTTTCTCGTCACAAAAAAAATGGTATAAGAAGCGGTTTTTGAAGAAGTTATTACATAAAAATCGAATAAAGCAGCTTTTTTGTTCCAATATTTTTATTCTTTCATTATAAATAGACGATGTGAACGTTAACGTTTAAAACTCGTTTAAAACTCGAGTTAACTCGAAACGATAAGAGACCCGTAGCGTTTTTAAAAGTATTATAGTGCTTTAAAATTGCTTCAAGGTCAAAGATTGGCCATAGACTTCGACTTTTTCCTCAGCCAGTTTACGATTTTACATAACATCCAATTTTAACGAAAATTTAACTTGTAAAAATTCGCCGGCGGGGAGACGTGTGAGAGCCTAGTGAGAGCCTAGATCTATAACATGAAAATAAATCGACCATTTTAAACTTGTATCAAATTACATAATTGCTTTAAGATATAAAATATACATTATTTTACCTGTTTTCCTGGTTCAAATTAAATTCTAGTCACCTGTGATTTGGGTCGTCCTCTGCCGTTGTACTCTTGGTCGTACCAGGTGATGAGGTTGTTCGAGTACTTCTTACCATGGTGTCCGAACAAGTGCTGTTTGCCCATTCCGTCCCCCTTGTGCACCGCCCCTCGTCTCACCAAATGGTCCGGCGACGCACCTGTAACATATTAATCAGGCACTATTTATAGCTGTTCGTTAATTTACAACATTGAAATGTCTCAAAAACATGCTTACGGCAATTTGCGTGCAAGACGCATACGGCATGATATATAGTTATTGCCGAACTACAGTTATTGAACCAATTTGAAAAATGTGGTTTTTGCAGGCGATCTTATCAAAAAACGGAATTATAAGACACATCAGCTCAGAAGCGAATCTAGAATTTTCTCGAAGGCAGGGATTTTCAGAAAAAAAATCGAAAATTTTGTCGAACTTTTTTCGAAAATTTAGAAAAAAGCGTTTTTAGGGACAGTTTGGAAAATTTAAGATTGTTGACAACGAATCTGGGCTCTTTTCCAGTTCCCCCCCTTTCAAAATAACGAGTTTTATATTTGTTTTACGTGTTATTACGGCTAAATGCGTGAAGTTACGCTGTAAAGTATGAAGAACAAATCTGTTCAGAATTGTCGATTTGTTCACCACGCCAAATTTCATTGCATTGTGACAACGTTAAATAGACTTTTCAGAATTGAGTTTGAAAGGGGGGGAACTGGAAAAGAGCCCGAATCTGATTGAAGGTAACCAACCTACTTCATTTTGACGCCCGAAACTATATTTTTAATCATTGGAGCACATAGAAATTAAGGGAAATCTAGTGAAAATTATACTATCATTTTTGACCAATTTATTTGCTCAAGGTCACTGATATTGCTAAAAACTTGATACTAATAACGACTTCCAATTTCGAAATATTTCTAAACACACTCAACTCCACAAATCTTAAAAAGCATTCGGAACGTTCAAGATTTTGCCCTGATAACCAAGAGTCTGCTCTTTTCCACACTCCCCCACCTTTCATATTTTCAATTTTTTCTTGTTTTATGTGTGATGTAACGATTTAAGGTACGAAAAACACTTCTGTTGACAATTATTAGTTTGATCATCATGTATTAAATTATGCTAACGTTCAAAGAGACTTACAAGTGGAGAAGATCCGACCGATGAGTCAATTATTTGTCTTTTTGTTGCAATTGTTTATCATTTTGTTGCAATTATTTGCCAATAATGGCAAACAATTGCAACAAAATGGCAACAATGTCTCCAAAACTTTTTTTTTCCAAATTGACAGCAATAGTTGGCTCTTTTCAAGTTCCCCTCTTTGACCTTTTCTGAAATTGGATATATGACAGTCTATTTAAAATTACTTTTCTTGTTATAAGCAAAACGTGTCAGCGTGAACAGTTGAACAAATTCGTACAACATTTTCTTGGATTCAAATGGCGTGTGAACAATTTTTGATCAGCTTAATCTTGCAATTTTACGAGGGGATGAGAAACTGGAAAAGAGCCCAATAGTTAACTTAAGACTTTTATTTCCGGAAAAAAATGACAAACAATTGTAATAGAAAATTTTTGCATTTGTTTGCCATTTGTTTCCGGAAATAAAGGTTTTAAGTTAACAATTGCTGTCATTTGGTTTAAAAAAACAAAGTTTCGAGAAGTTTCCTAGACATTTTTAAACAAAGGCAGAAAAAATAGAACAATAGAACAACCAAACAATGTGAATGAAAATTGTTCTTGTAGAAGTTTTTCAGGTTGGAGTGTCGGGAGGAAAAAAAGCCTTATAATGATTTAGGTTAAGATATCCGAACAATCTACATATCCTAATCTACCTGAATAGGGATTGTAATCCGTCCTGTAAGAGCTGTTGTGTTTCATCGCATCCTTCGAGTATCTCCTCCGCTCTTCGTACCAGTTCCCCACCAGCACTCCCGGCACATAACGGGGCTTAGTATCCCACGCTGGCATTCCAGCTGCAAACGAAGCATTCCCCACTGGGTCCCCCATTATTACAGGAAATCCTGACTACTTTGTTGACTTTTTAAAGCAAAAATAATAAAAAAAACTGGGAAAAAATAACCAAAACTTACGTATAATTATATAAATTGTACGTAACCAGAGCTATTATATAACGTTTCACGCGTTATCAACTAACAAAAACCGATCTGCCTTCGCGTATGTTGGTAAAGCTAGATAGAATATTATGTTTGGTTTTGGTTAGATTGATTTGAAAGCTAATCTAAAATTGAAGAGAAAACACGTGCAAAAAAGATAGAAATAAACAAAGATATAAATAATGAATGTATTAAGGCAAAAATGGTTTATTCATGATTGTGTGTTTATCGTTCCCTTGTTCATACTTTTTGAAGATGCGGGGCAAGTTTACGTTTTTGACTCCATTTATTTTGCCATAAGATATTTTTTGGCTACGTTTGGCTTTAGACCGTATTTCGAATTTTTGAATTTTCGTGTTATAGATTATATAAAACAAATCGGACGTTTTGAATTTCTGAATAAAATTCAGGGCTCTTTTTCCTTTTCCCACCACCAGCAAAATTTTACAAGAGAAATTTTGTTCACGTTATTCGAATGTTACGAAAATTGACTTGCGAACTTATTAGGCCATGACAAACATATTTGGCCTTCATGTTTAATTTGGTAAAATCCCCATTAGTTACACCATAAAATTGATGCTTATGTGAGGTGGGGGAAAAGAAAAAAGAGCCGCGAATATTTATAAATATGAAGTTACTTTTCTGTTAACATTATCCGATTGTTTCAAAAATTGGCATGTGGACTAATTTGACTATGACAACTACATTTAATTTGTATGTTCAATCCTGTGAGACTCCTCGTAACTCCATAAATTCGATATTTATGCGAGTCGGGAGGAGGAAAAGGAAATAGGGTCAACGAAGCTGACCTTTAAAGGTGGTGGAGACAGTTAAAGGGCGTTGAAATAGCAACCGAATTGCAAAACTGCATTCAACTGTCAAAAATCAAGACGACATGCATCTTTTCGCTTTTTTCCGAGATGTCAATTTTTGCTTTGTTTCAAGACAACTATTGGAAAAAATTCATTTGACAACGGTCTGCTGTGCAATTTTCAAGAAAAAAGTACAAAAAATGAGAACGACAGAAAGGAAAATGCGAAACGTCATAGAGTTATTTCGAATTAGGTTTAGCTTGAAGGTCAGAATTATTTTAAATGTTCAAAATGTCCATTAATTAAATAAATAATTTTATATAAGATTATATAATGGTTAAATGCATGATGTTATACAGTGCTGATTTGGACAAAAATGCATTAAGCTTGAACTTTAAAACTCATTTTTATTTTGCAATTGGGCTCAATTTGGGTAACGAAAACTTTGCTACACTTAAGTCACTGATCGTCTAGGTAGGTTTTGCGTAAATTTTGATTGACTAAAAAACCAAAATTATGCGTTTTTGAAGTAAAATTTTGTGTTCAATTTTCGCAAAGTAAAGAGCACCGTATAAATTCTACTGAAATTCAAAGCAAATTGTCTAAAATCAACCCAAATTGAGCAAAACGTTTTTCAACTTGCAAATTTAATGTGTTTTTTCCGGATAAGTTACATTATAACTGTAAATTTAACGGCACTACTGGACTATAGAGAGTTGCAAAAAGTTCGGACAGACAGAAACAATTAGAAAGAGCAACTGTCTAGGCATCAACGGAAATTCAAACTGAAATAAACCTAACGTCGAAAGTTCATAAGGCAGAGTTTTCGCTCAAAACCTATAACCAAGGCGGGTAATTGCATCCGAAGCGTCGAATAGTAAGCCTTGAAACAGGAAATTTATTGCTCAGTGACAAATAATTTTGAGCAATTTGTTTCCAGTTTTTGAATATTTTGATCTTCTTCACTTCCGTTTGTTCTTTTGGGCGGCCTAATCTATTTTTTTGTTGATGAAAACGTTCGTCTTTATAAAACATCGTAAATGTTAGATTTTATTTTTTCAACTCATTTTGCTAATTGAATTATAGTAATATCTGAGTTTTCCTTGCAGTATTTAAAAATTAGGCTTGCATAATCATCGGATAAATGACGACCTTGCATTTTGAATTTGGTCTGACGAAAAATTCAAGGTCGTTCGGCTTCAGATTTTGCATGCAAAAAAGCGTCGAAAAGCACTGATTGCTCATTTTAATTATTTCTGTCTGTCCGAACTTTTTGCTACTAATTATACGTCTCAATTAAGAATTATTTTTGACCTTGAGACAATAAGCTGCCGTTGAAATGGCAACTGAGTTTTCAAAACTGCCTTTATAGTTTTTAACAAGGATTGTTCAAGGTCACCGAAAGTGCCAAGAGTTTGGCTTTATTTATCAAGAATTGCCAAACTTCCGACCAGCCAATTATTAAAAAGAGAAATCAATCCACTTTCAAATTTTTTTGCATGTAAATAATTTTTTTCTGACAACCTTGAGATGGTCTGACAAGTTTTAGTCTGATATTTTAAGTTTTACATGCAAATTTTTTTCAAGTCAAATTTAATGCTTAAACATCGGCAAACCTTTTTCGGTCAGCGAAACTGAACGAAGATAAATAACCTAAAACTGCTCATTTCGACGTCGGTTTTAGTTTCTCACTGATTTTCACATCAAAGCTCGAACAGACAAAATTAATTAACATGAGCAATCAGTGCTTTTGAACGTCTCATTCATGCAAAATCGGAAGCCGAATAACCTTAATTTTTTTGTCAGACAAAATTCAAAACGCGAGATCGTCGATTATCCGATGATTACGTTAGCCTAATTTTTAAATACTGCGATGAACATCCAGATTTTACAATGAAAAATTTCGACGCTTCGCATGCAATTGACCGCCGTGGTTATAGGTTTTGAGCGAAACTCGGATCTACCTAAAATTCTCCCCCACTATTGTGTCTATAATTAGTTGCAAAAAATTCGGACAGACAAAATAATTAAAAATCAGACAATTTTTCTATGCAAAAGCTAATTTTTCAGGCAAAACGTATGTCTCAATGTGACCTAAAATTTCAAATTCGAATGCAAAAATTGCTAAAAATTGGCAGACTGCTCTTTTTAATTATTTTTGTCCGCACAGCTTTTTTTGCAACTCTCTATAGCTTTCAAATTTATCGGACAACGTATTTTTTTGTGTGAAATAATTCTGACCTTGAAAGAGTGGAATAGAGTTAAAATTTCAAACAACATTTCTGAAGCCAGCCAAAAGGATTGCGTTTTTTTAGAGATCAACTTTTTGAATATTTTCAAGCCCTTAAAACAATTTTCATTCAGCAGCGATCTGACAAGCTATTTTTCATTAAAAAAGAACGCATAAAACGCATACAAAAAGACAAATTCTAAACATCAAAGACCCATTTCTAGTTAGTTTCAGCTTGAAGGTCAGAATTAAGAATTATTTTGGAAAAATGAGGCGTGGTTCGATGAATTTGTTAAAAGATATATACAGTGCTGATTTAATTTATCCGGACAAAACGCATCATACTAGATATTTGAGATTCATAATGGGTTGAGTTAGGGTAAGAAATGATGCTAACAAATCTTGCCTAGATTTTCATCAGATTTATTAAGGTGCAATTTGTTTTGCAAAATTCATGCCCAAAATTTTACCCCAAAAACTGATAATTTTTGGCTTTTCTACTCAACCAAAATTTTCGCCAAAAAAGACATAAGTATCAAAACTGACAGAAAAAGGTCGATCAATGAAATAGGTATATCAAAGTTCGCCTCTTAAGTAGCCCAACAAACGTTAAAAAGAGCATACTCTCCAAAAACTTTGTACAATTCATTTCAATTTTGTTTAATAGACAAAATAAAGAGTTTTTCAACTGAAACCAACTTTTTCTTGAAAAACAATTTTCTAACATTTTGCGGTATTTTTTTAGAGAGTGTACCATTCGTGAAATTTGTTGAGCTACGTAAGAGGCTCCTTTTCATATAATTAATTCAGTGATCGACCCAGTAGATGGCGTAATTATTCATTGAGTAAAAAAGCCAAATTGGATCCATTTTTGGGGTAAAAATCTGGTCCCGAAATTTTCACCAAAATTTTTTCAAAATTTTTGTTTTTAATTTTTAAGCATTTTTTTCTTCCAATTTTTGTCTAGAATCGACCCAATTTCAGGTTTCAAGATTCTTGCTAAATGAGTTTTTTTCCGGATAATTTAAATCACCACTGTAAATAATGCCAAAGTGCAGGCAATATCTTCTCTGAGGAATATCTTTTCTACTAATTTCCACGCGTAAAAACGGTTTGTGAAACATTAAATGACCTAAATTGATACTGTTTTTGACCGATTAAACAATTTGGCGTTAACTACATAGCTAGTAGCAAAACTTTGGACAGACCAAAATAAATCAAAAAAGCAATTAAACAGTTTTGGAAAAAATTTGCATGTTATATCTACCACTCTCAAGATCAAGTGCTGGGCTTTTGTTTCTGGACAATTGTCGACCCAAATGAGATCGGCGTCCTTCATTTAAGTTAAACTGAACACATTACAAATTGATTTCTACGCAATGGCGTGCCATAGCGCCCTTCGGGTGCAAATGTCAATGATCATTTTTATTGCTCAAAGAAAATGAATTTTTCAAGTATACTGTACAACATCAATTAAAACTAAAAAAACTAACGCTAACAATTCAAACTACAAATGGAGCACTTTTTTACTGGGACGTGTCTGAGGATATTACATTACTAAAAATCCACGCATACTGATATGATAGCAAACATATAATTGGCAATAAAACACAGGATTTAAAGAATCGAAACAATCTCCGTTGATGACTTAGTTTCGAAAAAGCAAATTTTGGATTGATGGATTTAGATTATGGTTACGGCTGCTCCCTCTGTCGGACCCATTGAGCATCCTCCCTTGATCCAGGGTGCCTGATATTTGTTCTTTTTAAATAAAAATTTGGATTTTTGATCTGTTTTCTTAGTTAGCTTGAAAAATATTCAAAAATTTTTTCTTTTCTTGTTCGAAACAGAAAAATTTTTGATCAAGAATACTTTTTCAGGGAGTACAAAAAATATTCCTGGTCTATCCACAAAACAAACTTTTTAGCAGCATTAACATGAATGAATTCGAAATGTTTTCATTTAGCGAAAATATTAAAAAGTGTGTTTTTTTGGGCAACCATAAAATTTACAAAAATAAAAAAATTTAAAAATGTGAACAATTTTTTTTTGTTCGCCGCAGCGTACCCGAATTAGTAGGACTACCAATCTCAATTTTGAAAT